TTCAGAATATTAATGAACCCTATGTACAATTTCAGGGAGCTCTGGTGGCGTAGTGCCTAAGGCATTTGACTGCTAACCAGAAAGCTGGTAGTTCAAACCCACCAGCCACTCCTCAGAAGAAAGGTTGGGCAATCTACTTCCATAGAGATACTGCCTCAGAAAGGACCCCAAGGAGGGGTCGCTATGAGTCGAATCGACTTGATGGCAGTGGGTTTGTTTTGTTTATTTTTTTTATGTACAATTTCAAGGCCCTTACATTAAAAGCTCTGCTTTTAATACATATTACAGCTCCTCAGATGGAGTATGTGATGGTGATTGTTTATTTTGGTTTCTTGTGATCCAATGTGTATGTTCTTTCAGGTAAGGAAATGTCCTTTTTCTTCTTCTGTAATTCACCTCCAGTGGCTCCTGAGAAATAAATATGGGGAGAGGCAAAATAAGGGATCTGAAGAATAATCAAATACTTGCATGTGAAACTTACGTAACTGGTACTGAATATTAAACTTTGTAAAAACAAAACACTGAGTGTTCATGAAGAGACGTTTGCTATTGTTAGGTGCCATCACATTGGTTGTGACTCATGGCAACCCTGTACAGAACAGAACAAAACACAGCCGGCTCCTGCACCATCCTCACAATTGCTACTGTGTTTGAGCCCAGTGTTGTAGCCACTGTGTCAATTCATCTCATTGAGGGTGTTCTTCTTTTTCTCTAGAAGTAATATAACCCATAATCTATTTTCATGGGGAGTTGTTCAGTGGTGATTATTTTAATAAGTATATTTTTGTTTCTTTCTTCAGAAATGAATGCTAAGGGAGAGATCCTCAATGCATTTGAACGTTATCGTCTAAAAACATGCATTGACTTCAAGCCTTGGGCTGGAGAAACTAACTATATATCAGTGTTCAAAGGCAGTGGGTATGTTGAAGAGTTGGTCTTCTAAGGGTTCTAAAGAGAACTGTTATGCCTGGGACATTACATCACAACAATTGCCTTAGGCTCTGACTTTTAACATGGGGCTTCCCTTGCTGGTTTCTGGAGAGTAAAAGATGAGCAGAATCTAGTTCCTCTAGCCAGAAAAAATAATATTTTCATACATGCAACCAGCCTACCCATGTCACTAAGATAAGCCAGGCGAGATTGATGCATCCATCCCATAGCTTGTGAATTTCACAAGCTGAAATTTCAACATGTTTGCAATTTACATGCTCTTTATTTCCCCTTTCAAGTAATGCCCAGCCTAATAAAGACCATACTCTTTAAAGCATGGTTGAATGGTAAGAACGGTTGATTATTCTTGAGTATTAGTAATTTAACTTTCTTCCTTTTTATTTATATCCATTTTCTAATTTATTTACAATGAATGTGTATTACTTGTGTGGTATTATGAAAGGCTGACTTCTGAGTGTTTTTGATGGGCACATGGATTTTATTATGTAAATGTATATATAGTTAACATTGTCATATATATATATAGATTTACATATATAAAATATATATAACAATTCATAGCAAGTTAAGAAGATGACATTGTTACCTGCACCAAACCCAGCAATTCTGAGTAGTTACTGTCCCAATAAAATCCTTGTTAATCGGTGGGTATCAGCATAGTGAGGACAATCTCAAAGACTCTGAAATCCCCAGGAAAGATCAGGAGTAGTGTGACTGGAGAATGACTTGCTTCTATGTAGTATTTAGTGTTAGGACAAGTTCTCCAAAGATCACCTGTTTGGAGGGCTTTTCATACCTCACTGGGGTTATGAGAAAAATGCACAGTGTACTACTGATAAAGTGAAGGATGTGGGAAGGGAAACCAGGTAGACTCAACATTGAGAATGCTGTTCTGAGAAGTCAAACTTGCACCACAGTTAACATTCTCTCTCCTTTCTTGTTAAATTCTTCTATTAGCTGCTGGTCTTCAGTAGGAAATAGGCATGTTGGGAGACAAGAACTTTCCATTGGGGCAAATTGTGATCGAATAGCAACGATTCAACATGAGTTCCTTCACGCACTGGGATTCTGGCACGAGCAGTCACGTTCTGACCGGGATGACTATGTCAGTATCATTTGGGAGAGAATTCAATCAGGTATATTTCTTCTGTTTTCTTACACTTTTGGTTGAAGTTTGAGTTTTTAAGCATGTGCCCTCCTGTTAACTGAACCAACAGTTAATAATTGAAAAACTCTGACGTACTGATGTCTTACTTCACTTAGCTCTAATCTAATATGATGTGACAGATATATTAAAATTGTTGAAGTTCTAGTGTCTCAGCATTTCAGTACTTTGAGCCTGATATAATCTTACAAATTGACTAGTTTAGTGTTTCCCAAATTGTACTCTATGGAGTATTGTCCTAGAATATGTTCATAGGTGTGTAGAAAGGGATTTGGGGTCGATTAGTTTGGGAAATCTGGGTTTAAAAAATTAAACTTGCATTTATTCATATGGCTGTGCTGTTCAGAGTCTTTGCTAGGATAACACAAATTGTTTGGGAGCATTTCCCAAAGTGATTTGATCATGGACTTTTTTGGAGTATTTTGTGGGTCTAGTGTTTCATGGAACCCATGTTGGATATACTGAAGCAGTTGAGCAGTCTGAATTTTGTGACTTTCTGTTCAGAATCATAAAGATCTTAAACATGTATGAGTAGGGCTTATGTTTTCCATGTTTTTTCCTACAGTGACACTTAGCTTCCAGATCTGTCTTGCCTGGGTAGGTAGAATGATATTGCTATTAGTGTGAGGCCCTGTGAGCGATGCCCTGTACTAATGCTTTTTGACATCACAAAGCTCTAAGGCAAAGCAACAAATGAAAAGATTTCTATAACAGAAGGAGCATTTAGGCTTCTCTCTATAGGATTTCCAAAGTCTTATATTTGGTAGAAATTTCTGCCCACATTTGATAGAGCACCTATGTCTTTGGAGATGAGATTCATCTCCTCTGTCCAAAAATCATCTGATTTCAAGTTGCCATCAGTTTCCACTATTATGATGCTTAGCACCCTGATAGCTTCTCTGAATACATTTGTTAAATGAATTCCAAACCAGTTACTGTTGAGTAGCTTCCAACGCATGTATGTCACAATAGAATTGTGTGCTCCATAGGGTTTTCAGGGAGCTCTGGTGGCGTAGTGCCTAAGGCATTTGACTGCTAACCAGAAGGCTGGCAGTTCAAACCCACCAGCCACTCCTTGGAAGAAAGGAAGACTGGGCAATCTACTTCTGTAGAGATACAGCCTCAGAAACCCAAGGAGGGGTGTCTGTGAGTCAGAATCAAATCGACAGCAGTGAGTTTGAGTATAGGGTTTTCCACGGCTGATATGTTGGAAACAGATCACCAGGCCTTTCATCCAAGGTGAGTTTGAATGGACTTGAACCTCCAACCTTTCTGTTTGCAGTTGAGTGCACTATCCAGGGAGTCCACATGTATTCCAGTAACCACGAAATCCTTGACTCTGTTAGTTCTTTCTAATGACTCTTGTCTACATTATCATTCTTAAGTCTCATCTCACCACACCTCCCAAATTTCTTAACTTCCACCTCCATCTGCTGTCATTGTCTGCCAACGACTATTTCAACAACACTTTTTAGAACGTTCTTTTCCACTAGCAGTTCTTTGAACCATAGGCCTAATGCTAATGTTCCAACTTTGGGCTGTGATGAAATCTTAGTTATGTTCAGTATAATTGCTGATATCACAATTCTAAGCATAAATATTCAGAAGAAGTTTGGGCAATCTACTTCTGTAGTGATACTGCTTCGGAAACCCAAGGAGGGGTCGCTATGAGTCGGGGCCAACTCAATGGCACATAACAACAACAACAGGAATGAATATTATATGAAATACTCTTGAAAGACAATAGATTAGTTGTAGCAAAAGTTACAGTATATGTATTACATTCTCCAGTTTTACATTAACAAAATTTGGAGTAGATAAACTGAATTTTGTGAACACAAGGTAATAATTTTTTTTTCTCATTTACCATTTAGGCAAAGAACACAATTTTAACACCTACAATGATCAACAATCAGACTCTCTGAATGTTCCCTATGATTACACTTCAGTAATGCACTACAGCAAAACTGCCTTTCAAAATGGGACAGAGCCAACCATTGTAACAAGAATCTCTGACTTCATGAATGTGATTGGCCAACGAATGGATTTCAGTGACTACGATCTCTTAAAGTTGAATCGACTGTATAACTGCTGTATGTGATAGGTTCTCTGGAATGATTTCTATTTCCCTTTGCTATGTAGCAAGACATTATGCTCTGTGACATTTTGCTAAGCATTTCTAGGTTTTCTGAAAGAACAAAAATTTGATAGTCAGAAAAAAGCAGCAGAGATCCCAATCTACAACTTGTAGGCAGCATTTTTTCTGCTCATAAGGTCTGACCTTCAGTTCTAAAACCATATCGAGTCCTGTGGGAATATGCCCCAGGCAGGTTCTTAAAGCTGTTACTAATTCAAACCTTGCTATTCAAAACTGTTTTCAGTCAAAATGAGGTAGACAGTTATAATAAAAATGAGGTAAAATAATCTGGGTTGTGACTTTAAAATCCAAATAACTAGGGGAATGTAGATTCAGATTTCTGATTTGTTTTTATTTGCTGTGGAGTCCTTTCTGATTTGTGGCACCCCCATGTGTTACAGAGTGGAACTGCTCCATGGGGTTGGGTATCTTGGCTGTAATCTTTTTTTTTTAAATTTACATTTTTTTTTTTTAATTGTGATTTGGGTGAAAGTTTACAGAGCAAATTCACTTTCTATACAGCACTTCACACACACATTATCTCATGACACTGACTACAATTTACCCCAATGCATCAGCTCCCCTCCCATTTCCTTGATAGTTACCTCTTGGCTGTAATCTTAACGAAAGAAAGTCACCAGGTCTTTTCTTCCACGATACTGCAGGATGTGTTAGATAACTAAAAAACAGACTTGGGGCACAGAGCTTATTCAGATCTACAGTTAATCCATCTCTAGGCAGTGGTTCTGCAAAGGCTTCTCTCTAATCTTTTGAGTTGATGTTGTCAGTTTGATTCCATATAGACAGTTCTTAAAAGCATTTAATGCTAAAAACAAAACAAAACAAAACAAAAAAAAACTCACTGTCGAGTCAGTCCTGACTCATGGCGCCCCTCCTTGAGTTTCTGAGGTGGTATCTCTATGGAAGTAGATTGCTCAAAGCAGATATTTTTTACTAGTTAAAT